TATATATATATATATAATATATATATATACATACATATATAGGGGGAGATACAAACTCCATGTAATAATCTCCCGTAAATTCTTCTTATATTTCCTCGTCACAGAATTGTTTTGCGTTCGGAAGTCAAATGATAAATTGGCTAAAATCTAGAAAAAAATTATAATCCGTCAAACCATTTCTACTGTGAATTATGTCTGTGACTGATGTGGCAGCTTAGTGGCTCGGTTATGTGCACGAATTTGGTTGAGAGAATAACCAATTGTTTGTTAGTTAGCGGATTATTTGTTTCACCAGCCTTCTATTCAGTTTTTTCCTGATGTTATACAGTGTACTTGTCAGTGTGCTTGTCAGTGTACTTGTTAGTGTACTTGTTAGTGTGCTTGTCAGTGTACTTATCAGTGTATTTGTCAGTGTACTTGTCAGTGTGCTTGTCAATGTACTTGTTAGTGTACTTGTCAGTGTGCTTGTCAGTGTACTTGTCAGTGTACTTGTCAGTGTACTTGTCATTGTGCTTGTCAGTGTACTTGTTAGTGTACTTGTTAGTGTGCTTGTCAGTGTACTTGTCAGTGTACTTGTCAGTGTGCTTGTCAGTGTGCTTGTCAGTGTACTTGTTAGTGTACTTGTCAGTGTGATTGTCAGTGTACTTGTCAGTGTACTTGTTAGTGTACTTGTTAGTGTACTTGTCAGTGTGCTTGTCAGTGTACTTGTTAGTGTACTTGTTAGTGTAATTGTTAGTGTACTTGTCAGTGTGCTTGTCAGTGTACTTGATAGTGTACTTGTCAGTGTGATTGTCAGTGTACTTGTCAGTGTACTTGTTAGTGTACTTGTTAGTGTACTTGTCAGTGTGCTTGTCAGTGTACTTGTTAGTGTACTTGTTAGTGTACTTGTCAGTGTACTTGTCAGTGTGCTTTTCAGTGTACTTGTCAGTGTACTTTTCAGTGTACTTATTAGTGTACTTGTTAGTGTACTTGTCAGTGTGCTTGTCAGTGTACTTGTCAGTGTACTTGTCAGTGTGCTTGTCAGTGTGCTTGTCAGTGTAATTGTCAGTGTACTTGTCAGTGTACTTGTTAGTGTACTTATCAGTGTACTTGTCAGTGTACTTGTCAGTGTACTTGTTAGTGTATTTGTCAGTGTGCTTGTCAGTGTACTTGTTAGTGTACTTGTCAGTGTGCTTGTCAGTGTGCTTGTCAGTGTGCTTGTCAGTGTACTTGATAGTGTACTTGTCAGTGTGCTTGTCAGTGTACTTGTCAGTGTGCTTGTCAGTGTGCTTGTCAGTGTACTTGTCAGTGTACTTGTCAGTGTACTTGTTAGTGTACTTGTCAGTGTACTTGTCAGTGTACTTGTTAGTGTACTTGTCAGTGTACTTGTCAGTGTGCTTGTCAGTGTACTTGTCAGTGTGCTTGTCAGTGTACTTGTTAGTGTACTTGTCAGTGTACTTGTCAGTGTACTTGTCAGTGTACTTGTTAGTGTATTTGTCAGTGTGCTTGTCAGTGTACTTGTTAGTGTACTTGTCAGTGTGCTTGTCAGTGTACTTGTCAGTGTGCTTGTCAGTGTGCTTGTCAGTGTACTTGTCAGTGTACTTGTCAGTGTACTTGTTAGTGTACTTGTCAGTGTACTTGTCAGTGTACTTGTCAGTGTGCTTGTCAGTGTGCTTTTCAGTGTACTTGATAGTGTATTTGTCAGTGTGCTTGTCAGTGTACTTGTTAGTGTACTTGTCAGTGTGCTTGTCAGTGTGCTTTTCAGTGTGCTTGTCAGTGTACTTGTTAGTGTACTTGTTAGTGTACTTGTTAGTGTACTTGTCAGTGTACTTGTCAGTGTGCTTTTCAGTGTGCTTGCCAGTGTACTTGTTAGTGTACTTGTTAGTGTACTTGTTAGTGTACTTGTCAGTGTACTTGTCAGTGTGCTTTTCAGTGTGCTTGTCAGTGTACTTGTTAGTGTACTTGTTAGTGTACTTGTTAGTGTACTTGTTAGTGTACTTGTTAGTGTACTTGTCAGTGTACTTGTCAGTGTGCTTTTCAGTGTGCTTGTCAGTGAACTTGTTAGTGTACTTGTTAGTGTACTTGTCAGTGTACTTGTCAGTGTGCTTGTCAGTGTACTTGTCACTGTGCTTGTCAGTGTACTTGTTAGTGTACTTGTTAGTGTACTTGTCAGTGTGCTTGTCAGTGTGCTTGTCAGTGTGCTTGTCAGTGTACTTGTTAGTGTACTTGTCAGTGTGCTTGTCAGTGTGCTTGTTTGTGTACTTGTCACTATGCTTGTTAGTGTACTTGTCAGTGTACTTGTTAGTGTGCTTGTCAGTGTGCTTGTTAGTGTACTTGTCAGTGTGCTTGTCAGTGTACTTGTTAGTGTATCCTCAGTGTGCTTGTCAGTGTGCTTGTCAGTGTGCTTGTTAGTGTACTTGTCAGTGTGCTTGTTAGTGTGCTTGTCAGTGTGCTTGTTAGTGTACTTGTCAGTGTGCTTGTTAGTGTGCTTGTCAGTGTGCTTGTTAGTGTACTTGTCAGTGTGCTTGTCAGTGTGCTTGTTAGTGTACTTGTCAGTGTGCTTGTTAGTGTGCTTGTCAGTGTGCTTGTTAGTGTACTTGTCAATGTGCTTGTTAGTGTGCTTGTCAGTGTGCTTGTTAGTGTACTTGTCAGTGTGCTTGTTAGTGTGCTTGTCAGTGTGCTTGTTAGTGTACTTGTCAGTGTGCTTGTTAGTGTGCTTGTCAGTGTGCTTGTTAGTGTACTTGTCAGTGTGCTTTTCAGCTGTGCTGTGTTAGTGTGCTTGTCAGTGTGCTTGTCAGTGTGCTTGTCAGTGTGCTTGTCAGTGTACTTGTTAGTGTAATTGTCAGTGTGCTTGTCAGTGTGCTTGTCAGTGTGCTTGTCAGTGTGCTTGTCAGTTTACTTGTTAGTGTACTTGTTAGTGTAATTGTCAGTGTGCTTGTCAGTGTGCTTGTCAGTGTGCTTGTCAGTGTGCTTGTCAGTGTACTTGTTAGTGTAATTGTCAGTGTGCTTGTCAGTGTGCTTGTTAGTGTGCTTGTCAGTGTGCTTGTCAGTGTACTTGTTAGTGTACTTGTCAGTGTGCTTGTTAGTGTGCTTGTCAGTGTGCTTGTTAGTGTACTTGTCAGTGTGCTTGTTAGTGTGCTTGTCAGTGTGCTTGTTAGTGTACTTGTCAGTGTGCTTGTTAGTGTGCTTGTCAGTGTGCTTGTTAGTGTACTTGTCAGTGTGCTTGTTAGTGTGCTTGTTAGTGTGCTTGTCAGTGTGCTTGTCAGTGTGCTTTTCAGTGTGCTTGTCAGTGTACTTGTTAGTGTACTTGTTAGTGTACTTGTTAGTGTACTTGTCAGTGTACTTGTCAGTGTGCTTTTCAGTGTGCTTGTCAGTGTACTTGTTAGTGTACTTGTTAGTGTACTTGTTAGTGTACTTGTTAGTGTACTTGTCAGTGTACTTGTCAGTGTGCTTTTCAGTGTGCTTGTCAGTGTACTTGTTAGTGTACTTGTTAGTGTACTTGTTAGTGTACTTGTTAGTGTACTTGTTAGTGTACTTGTCAGTGTACTTGTCAGTGTGCTTTTCAGTGTGCTTGTCAGTGAACTTGTTAGTGTACTTGCTAGTGTACTTGTCAGTGTACTTGTCAGTGTGCTTGTCAGTGTACTTGTCACTGTGCTTGTCAGTGTACTTGTTAGTGTACTTGTTAGTGTACTTGTCAGTGTGCTTGTCAGTGTGCTTGTCAGTGTGCTTGTCAGTGTACTTGTTCGTGTACTTGTCAGTGTGCTTGTCAGTGTGCTTGTTAGTGTACTTGTCAGTGTGCTTGTTAGTGTACTTGTCAGTGTACTTGTTAGTGTGCTTGTCAGTGTGCTTGTTAGTGTACTTGTCAGTGTGCTTGTCAGTGCACTTGTTAGTGTATCCTCAGTGTGCTTGTCAGTGTGCTTGTTAGTGTACTTGTCAGTGTGCTTGTCAGTGTGCTTGTTAGTGTACTTGTCAGTGTGCTTGTTAGTGTGCTTGTCAGTGTGCTTGTTAGTATACTTGTCAGTGTGCTTGTTAGTGTGCTTGTCAGTGTGCTTGTTAGTGTACTTGTCAGTGTGCTTGTCAGTGTGCTTGTTAGTGTACTTGTCAGTGTGCTTGTTAGTGTGCTTGTCAGTGTGCTTGTTAGTGTACTTGTCAGTATGCTTGTTAGTGTGCTTGTCAGTGTGCTTGTTAGTGTACTTGTCAGTGTGCTTGTCAGTGTGCTTGTTAGTGTGCTTGTCAGTGTGCTTGTCAGTGTGCTTGTCAGTGTGCTTGTCAGTGTACTTGTTAGTGTACTTGTCAGTGTGCTTGTCAGTGTGCTTGTCAGTGTGCTTGTCAGTGTGCTTGTCAGTGTGCTTGTCAGTGTGCTTGTCAGTGTGCTTGTTAGTGTACTTGTCAGTGTACTTGTTAGTGTGCTTGTCAGTGTGCTTGTTAGTGTACTTGTCAGTGTGCTTGTCAGTGTGCTTGTTAGTGTACTTGTCAGTGTGCTTGTTAGTGTGCTTGTCAGTGTGCTTGTTAGTGTACTTGTCAGTGTGCTTGTTAGTGTGCTTGTCAGTGTGCTTGTTAGTGTATTGTCAGTGTGCTTGTTAGTGTGCTTGTCAGTGTGCTTGTTAGTGTACTTGTCAGTGTGCTTGTTAGTGTGCTTGTCAGTGTGCTTGTTAGTGTACTTGTCAGTGTGCTAGTCAGTGTGCTTGTTAGTGTGCTTGTCAGTGTGCTTGTCAGTGTGCTTGTCAGTGTGCTTGTCAGTGTACTTGTTAGTGTACTTGTCAGTGTGCTTGTCAGTGTGCTTGTCAGTGTGCTTGTCAGTTTACTTGTTAGTGTACTTGTCAGTGTGCTTGTCAGTGTACTTGTTAGTGTACTTGTCAGTGTGCTTGTCAGTGTGCTTGTCAGTGTGCTTGTCAGTGTACTTGTTAGTGTACTTGTTAGTGTATTTGTTAGTGTGCTTGTCAGTGTACTTGTCAGTGTGCTTGTCAGTGTACTTGTTAGTGTACTTGCCAGTGTACTTGTCAGTGTGCTTGTCAGTGTACTTGTTAGTGTACTTGTCAGTGTGCTTGTCAGTGTGCTTGTCAGTGTGCTTGTCAGTGTGCTTGTCAGTGTACTTGTTAGTGTACTTGCCAGTGTGCTTGTCAGTGTGCTTGTCAGTGTGCTTGTCAGTGTACTTGTTAGTGTACTTGCCAGTGTGCTTGTCAGTGTGCTTGTCAGTGTACTTGCCAGTGTGCTTGTCAGTGTACTTGCCAGTGTGCTTGTCAGTGTACTTGCCAGTGTGCTTGTCAGTGTACTTGCCAGTGTGCTTGTCAGTGTACTTGCCAGTGTGCTTGTCAGTGTACTTGCCAGTGTGCTTGTCAGTGTACTTGCCAGTGTGCTTGTCAGTGTACTTGCCAGTGTGCTTGCCAGTGTACTTGCCAGTGTGCTTGTCAGTGTACTTGCCAGTGTGCTTGTCAGTGTACTTGCCAGTGTGCTTGTTAGTGTGCTTTTCAGTGAGCTTATCAGTGAGCATGTCAGTGAGCTTGTCAGTGAGCTTATCAGTGAGCTTATCAGTGAGCTTGTCAGTGAGCTTATCAGTGAGCTTGTCAGTGAGCTTATCAGCGAGCTTATCAGTGATCTTGTCAGTGAGCTTATCAGTGAGCTTATCAGTGAGCTTGTCAGTGAGCTTATCAGTGAGCTTATCAGTGAGCTTGTCAGTGAGCTTAGCAGTGAGCTTGTCAGTGAGCTTATCAGCGAGCTTATCAGTGAGACAAGGTTAATGTTCAACATGTCTTCCGTGTCGCCTTTTTTCTTACTCAGCCCCACAACGTGCGCCATTTTTCATGTCATCCAATTAACATTTTTGTTGTGAAAATCTCAAATAATTTAAAAACAAGAGACTTTCTTACCTCTTTTACAAATATATTTTTTCTTTCATCATCAACACCAGCGGCTTCCTCAGTCCAGTACAGAGAAAAACGGTGAAAAATTGAAATGAGGAAGTTTTTGCAATCAGTCCCTTTAGCCTGGAGATAATGTGCCATTTACGATAATGAGGTCACATCCTGTGTCATAGACAGCTGTAAGGTCACTGTCATAGACAGCTATAAGGTCACTGTTAAAGACAGCTATAAGGTCACTGTCAAAGACAGCTATAAGGTCTCTGTCAAAGACAGCTATAAGGTCACTGTCAAAGACAGCTATAAGGTCACTGTCAAAGACAGCTATAAGGTCACTGTCAAAGACAGCTATAAGGTCACTAGAGGCTTCTTTTTTCTAAACAACGGCCGTCTCCCACCGAGGTAGGGTGACCCGACAAAGAAGAAAATACTCCCACTGTCGCTCATTCAATCACTCTCTTCCCAGAAGCACGCCAACGTAGTTAAGAGGTAACATTCCCAACGCTCCAGAATGTAGGCACTGTATTTCCCACCTCCAGGACTCCATAGGTCTACTTGTAAATATAAGACAGCATTAGGCCACTGTAAGCCCACTATTACTTCCAATGTTATAGACAGTATTTTGATCAATTCATTTTGCTAATTGCTTACATAGTAATTATCAGGAAATCGCTTTTAATTGAAATCCATTTTAAATTCACATCAGTCTGTAGATCACACAGGCCTCTCCTGAGAGTACAAACAAATATACAAGTACTCTTTTTGATATGTACAAATGATGCACACGTACTCTGTAATACAAAACCTGCATGTGTACTCGTGTTGGAGTGCACTGTACGTGTGCACTTGCTAAAGGACAAACTCTTCACAACTCAACGAGAAACTGACTGTTGACAACTTGGGCTCAATACTTTGAGGACGATGACACAGGGAGATATGACACAACTGACCAGGAAGGTCACCGAATGGAGGAAGGAGGAGAAGAAGGAGCAGCAGCAGAAGTAGGAAGAGGAGCTGGAGAAGAAAACAGGCAAGTGGAACTTGCTTCATTTGCTTCAAAATCTATCGACTACACGAAGGTCATTAAAACTGAATTTTACTAACGTTAAAAAAATCTCTATATTCCGTAAAAAAAAGTATATTACTATTTTCATGTTTTTTCGAGGTATGATTATAATTTTGGGGGGAATTTCACGTTTTTCCAACAATTTTTTTTCTTAATACACCCTAAATAACAGTGTTGTCTTACACATGATTAACATTCCAGCATGACTTGAGTGTTGTCTTACACAGGATATAACATTCCAGCATGACTTGAGTGTTGTCTTACACAGGATATAACATTCCAGCATGTCTTGAGTGTTGTCTTACACAGGATACAGCATTCCAGCATGATTGCAGTGTTGTCTTAAACAGGATATAACATTCCAGGAGGTCCTAGAGTAATCGAACAACTTTTTTTCCATAGATGCGGCACACAATAGTAAGCTAAAACACTGTTACCTATTTTTTACTGTTTAGTTAGGAGGGGCAACAGGTGTGTAAGGAAATTTTTGAGTGAGGGAAGAGGGGAGGAGAAGGATGTATGTGAAAGGCTGATAGTATTGGAGGTCACAGTGAATGTTTTTGTTTCCAGCAGTAAGCGTATATCACAGATCGATCACCAGGTAGCCTGAACGTGACGTACGTGTATGTGTGTGCATACTTACCTAACTGTACACACCTAATTGTGGTTGCAGGGGTCGATTCAGAGCTCCTGGCCCCGCCTCTTTACTGGTCGCCACTAGGTATGTATATGTATGGTACCTGCCTTCATTACGTCACTTTCCAGACTGTTCCACTTTTGGACAAATTTATGGCTGAATAAATACTTCGTAACATCCTTGTGGCTTATCTGAGTCTTCAACCTCCAATTGTGACCCCTTGTTGCTGTGTCCCATCTCTGGAACATCCTGTCTCTATATACTTGTCGATTCCTCTCGGCATTTCACATGTCCCCTGTCCCTCCTGTCCTCTAGAATCGTCAGGTTGAGTTCTCTTAACCTTTCCTCGTAGGACATGCCCGTTAGCTCGGGGGCGAGTCTCGTTGCAAACCTTTGCACTTTCTCTAGTTTCCTGACGTGCTTGGCCAGGTGAGGGCTTCAAACTGGTACTACATACTCCAATATAGGTATAACGTACACGGTGTACAGGGTCTGGAACGGCTCTTTACTAAGATATCGGAATGCTATTCTTAGGTTTTCGTTAGTCTCCAATGCTGCGCATTATTTGGTTGAGGGCCCCTCAAAGTGTCCCGTACTATACCTCTCCAGGTTCTTTTCCTTGTTGGCGTTTGTTTTTTGGGCCCCCCTAACTTACTTTCTGGGTCCTTCTTTGCCCTTCCCCATCTTCGTGATTTGCACTTTTGGGAATGAACTCCAGGGCCTGGGTTTACCTGGAGGAGAGTTTCCGGGGTAAAACGCCCCCCGGCCCGGTCTTTTAACCGGGCCTCCTGGTGGACAGAGCCGATCAACCGGGGCTGTTGTGCGGGCTGCACGCAAACCAAGTACGAGCCACAGCCCGGGATCCGGAACTGACTTTAAGGTGTTTGTCCAGTGCCACTTGAAATGCCAGGGTTTGTTGATAACCCCCCTTATGTTGCTGGGAGGCATTTGAACATCTGGGGCCCCCCTGACACTTTATTGTAGGTCTCTTAAAACGGCTAGTGAAAAACCCCTGCTTTTCATTGGAGGGGGGTCTCGTCTGCCAAGTCTTTTGCTTTCGTAGGATGATTTCGTGTGCAATTTCGGTACTGTCCCTCTAGGATTTTCCAGGTGTATTTTAATCTTTATCCTCCCTCCGCTTTTTCCAGGGAATACAGGTTGGGAAACCCTAAAGCCTCCCTCTTGGTCCGCCTTATCCTCCTCCGCTAATTCTCTTCATTAACTTCACATCGCTACAAACAGGACACTTCTGAGTAAAACCTTTTCCGTCATTCATTCACAATACTGTCTTATTGCTGTCACTCTTCATAAAAATTGTGGGTTTGGACACGGATTTCCCTCTTGAATCCTCTGGTTTCTTTATAAGCTCATTCCTTTTGGTGCTTCACCACTTTTTTCCTGTAAATTTCCCCCTCCATGCCTCTGCATATATGCATGTCAATGATAGGTTTGCAGTTTAATGATCTGTCTGTCTTTTTTTTTTTAAAGATTGGGACTACATTTGCTGGTCCATATCTCAGCATCGCCCGTTTCCCCTTTTTTCGATAATGTGTTAGGGGTAACATGCCCCTCTCTCCCTCTCTCAGGACCCAGGAAGATGTTACCGACTCCATCCCCTTTTAGGTATCTAGCTGGGTTAGCACCCTCTTCACTTCTTCCTTATTGTATTATTGGATCACTTGAGGGATGTTGTGTGTGTTTGCTTTTGGTTGTGTGTTGTTGTTTTGTGGTGGTGTTTTGTGTGTAGTGTGTGTGTGTGTGTGTTTGTGTGTTGCTGTGGTGGTGCTTGCGTGTGTGTTGTGTGTGTTGTGTGCTGGTGTGTGTGTGTGTTTGTTTTGGTGTGTGTGTTGTGTGGTGTGGTGTGGGTGTGTGTGGTGTGTGTGGTTGTGGTTTTTTTAATTTTGTGCGTTCCCCTCCCTTCACTTTCAAATGACTGGGGTAATAACAGCTGAAAGTTTGTAAAAAAAACCTTTGCGTAAATAAAAAGGAAAGAAGAGAGAGAGGGGAGAAAGAGAGAGAGAGAGAGAACATCAACAGACAACGACAGAGGAAAAGAGAGAAGAACAAGAGACAAAACAACAGACAGAGACAAGAGGACAGCGACGAGAAGAGAGAGAAAAAAAAAAAGAAAGTAAAGGATATTGGGAGGGTGGAATATTTGGAGTTAAGGGAGTAAAAAGGGGAGTAAAGGAGGAAAGGGTGGAAGGGTGAAGTGAGGGAGGAGATTAGGGCTCTAGCACCCTCCACTCACCTGAAGAAAAAAGGGAAAGAAGAGGAACAAAAAAACACGGAAAGGCGAGCATCCAATATAAAAACCCATCATACAAAGAAAGAAGACAAGCAAGATAAACTATGATAACAAAGGAAAAAGGGCAAGAAAGATAAAAACCCTTGATAACAAAGGAAAGAAGACAACAAGAAACAACCTTGAAAACAAAGAGAAAAGACAAGCAAGTAACACCTTGATAACAAAGAGAAAAGAAAGAAAGATAACAACCTTGAAACAAAGAGAAAGAAAAAACAAATAAAAACCCTTTGATAACAAAGAAGAAGACAAGCAAGATAAAAGCTTGATAACAAAGAGAAAAAGACAACAAATAGCAACCTTGATAACAAAAGAAGAAGACAAGAAGATAAAAACTAGAAAACAAAGGAAAAAGAAGACAAGCAAGATAACAATATGATAAAAAGAAAAAGACAAGAAAAAACAACTATGAAAACAAAAAAGGAAAGATATCCATATAATAACCAAACAGCCCCTGAATGCACAACCCCTTTGAAAGGGGTGTCACCCAAACCTTTAAAAGGGTGTCCCACAATCCTTGCAAGTGTGTCACCCCAACCTTTCAAGGGTGTTACTCCCCAAGCCTTTTCAAGGGTGTCCTCACAACCTTGCAAGTGTGTCACTCCCAAGCCTTTAAAGGGGTTCACTCAAACCCTTGCAAGTTTTTTCATCCCAAGCTTTCAAGGGGTCACCAAAACCCCTTAAAGGGGTGTCACTCCCAAGCCTTTCAAGGTTTACCCCCAAGCCTTTAAAAGGGTGTCACTACAACCCTTTGCAAGTGTTTCTCCCAACCTTTGGGGGGTGCACTCAAAACCCCTTGAAAAGTGTTACTTCCCAAGCCTTTCAGGGTTCACTCACACCCCTTGCAGGGTGTCACTCCCAAGCCCTTTCAAGGGTTTTACCCCAACCTTTAAAGGGGTTCACTCCAAGTCCTTCATTGTCACTCCCAAGCCTTTAAAGGGGTGTCATCACAACCCCTTGAAAGTTGTCACCCCCAAGCCTTAAAGGGTTTTCCTCACAAGCCCTTGAAGGTGTCACCCAAGCCTTTCAAGGTTTTACTCAAAGCTCTTGCAAGGTGTAGCAAAACCCTTGCAAGGTTGTACTCAGGGGCCCCTTGCAAGGTAATGCACCACGTCACTTGCGGGGAGGGGGGGTCGTCATTTGCATTACACACACCTTCAAGGGGCACCTGAATAGGGCAATACTGGAGGGGTGGGGGTTGTTACATTGAAGTAAGGTGGGGGGTATTTTGGGGTGGAAATGGGGCGGTGTGGTGGGGTGGGGGGGGGATCCAGGGTTGTGATAAAGGGATGGGGTGATTGTGGGCCTGTAGTGAAGAGAATAGTGTTGGTGGCGGGGTTGTGACTGGGGAGGGCTGTCACAGCTCTCCCCCAACGGGAAGAAAATTGATTATTGCATCCCATTTTTTCCGTGAAGACTGATATTCATTTGTATCAATGGGGAGAGAGAACAAATCAAAACATTAACTTTAAAGGACTTAATGGAAATTGGTTCTTACGAAAATTAAACGTGAACTTCTGAAAGGCTTATTATTTTAGAAAAAAAAAAAAACCTTGGATCTTATTACCCGGGTTTTACTGGGTTTGTTGTTGATACTATATTTTTGATGGTGGGGTGAAACATATGGGGGTGAGGGGTGAAGACAGTAAATGGTGGGTGATGGAGTGAAGACAGGAGGGGGGGTGAGGTATGAAGCTTTTATGGTGGGTGGTGGGATTTAAGACGTGATGGTGGGGGATGGTAGTGAAACTGATGGTGGGGTGGTATAAGACGTGATGGGGGGTGATGGTAGTGGAAGTATGGGGGGTTGTGGTATTAAGACTGAGGGGGTGATGGTAGTGAAGACAGTGAGGTGGGTGATGGTGTGAAACAGTGATGGTGGGGATGGTGGGGAAACAGTGTGGGGGGAGGTTGAAGACAGGGATGGGGTGAGGGTAGGAAGACGGATGGTGGGTGATGGTAGGGAACCAGGATGATGGGTTTGTAGTAAAGACAGTGATGTTGGGTGAGGTTAAAACAGTGTTGGGTGAGGAGTGAAGACTGATTTGGGTGAGGGAAAGTGAAGACTTATGGGGGTGATGGTAGGAAGCGTGGGGGGTAGGGAATGAAACAGGATGGGGGGTGAGGGTATAAAAGCAGTGTTTGGGGTATGGTAGTAAAACGTGATGGTGGGTGAGGGTTGAGACAGTGGGGGGGTTGAGGGGAAAAAAAGCGGATGGGGGTAGGGTTTTAAGACAGGATTGGGTATGGTATGAAGAAGGTTTTGTGGGTGGGGTAGGAAGACAGTGATGATGGGTGAGGTATGAAAAGGGTGATGGGGGGGTTTTTTTAAGGGCAGTGATGGTGGGTTGGTATAAGCCAGTGAGGGGGTGAGGTAGGAAACAGTGTGGGGGTGGGGGTAGAAAAGACAGTATGGGGGGTGTTGGTAGTGAAGATATGATGGGGGGTGATGGTAGTGAAAGGGGATGGGGGGGTTGATGGTTGAAACAGTGATGAGATTAGGTATAAAGACTTGTGTGGTGATGGTATGAAGACAGGATGGTGGGTGAGGTAGTAAGACGTGGGGGGTATGGAGTGAAGCAGGAGGTGGGTATGGTAGTGAGACATGAGGTGGGTGTGGTAGTGAAACAGGTGGGGGGTGATGGTAGTGAAGACAGTGATGGGGGTGAGGTAGTGAAGGTGGATGGGGGGGTGATGGTGGGAAAGACAGGATGGGGGGTGATGGTGTGAAGATTTAGGTGGGTGATGGTAGGAAACAGTGATGGTGGGTGATGGTATGAAGACGGGAGGTGGGTATGGATGAAGACGTGAGGTGGATGATGGAATGAAGACAGTGGGGGGGGTGTGGTGGAAGACATGTGGTGGGGTGATGGGTAGGAAGCATGATGGTGGGGGGGGGGGGTATGAAAAAAATGATGGGGGGTGAGGGTAGTAAAGGAGTGATGGGGGTGGGGTATGAAGACGGATGAGGGTAAAGTAGTGAAGACATGATGATGGGTGATGGTAGTAAAGACAGTGTGGTGGGTGATGGTAGTGAAGACAGTGATGGTGGGTGAGGTGTGGGTTGGTGGGTGATGGTATAAGAGAGTGATGGTGGGTGATGGAGGGAAAGAGTATGGGGGGTAGAAGTGAAGACAGTGATGGTGGGTGATAGTGTGAAAGTGTGATGGGGGGTGAGGGTATGAAGACATGATGGCGGTGGGGTAGTGAAACATGAGGTGGTGAGGTAGTGAAGAAATTGATGGGGGGTTGGGGTAGGAAGACAGTGATGGGGGGTGATGGTAGTGAAACAGTGAGGGGGGGTGATGGTAGTAAAGAGGTGATGATGGGTGATGAAGTAAAGAAGTGATGGGGGTTGATGGTATGAAGAAGTGATGGGGGGTGATGTAGTGAAGACAGTGATGGTGGGTGATGGTAGCGAAGAGATAAAGGTGGGTGAGGGTAGTGAAGACAGTGAGGGTGGGTATGGTAGTGAAAAGAGAGTGATGGTGGGGAGGGTGTGAAACAGTGAGGTGGGGAGGGTAGTGAAACAGGAGGGTGGGGATGGTAGTAAAGATAGTGATGGGGGGTGAGGGAGGAAGACAGTGACGGTGGGGGGAGGTATAAGACAGTGTGGGGGGTGAGGGTAGCGAAGGAGTGAGGGTGGGTAGGTATGAAATAGTGATGGTGGGGATTTTAGTGAAACGGGATGGTGGGTGATGGTAGGAAACATGAGGGGGGTGAGGGTATGAAGACAGGAGGGTGGGTGAGGTTTTTAAGATAGTGATGGTGGGGTGGAAAGTGAAGACAGGAGGGGGTTTTGGGTGTAAATATGAGGTGGTGATGGAGTAAAAACAGTGTGGGGGGATGGTAGTTAAGCAGTGATGGGGGGGTGAGGGGTATGAAGATGGGATTTGGGGGGAGTAAGACAGTGATGATGGGGTGATGGTATAAAAGACATGATGGTTGGGGTTTTAGTGAAGGCAGGATGGTGGGTGGGGGTAGTAAAGACAGGAGGTGGGTAGGTATGAAGACTGAGGGTTGGGTGAGGAGTGAAAGAAGTGTGGGGGTGAGGTATGAAATAGTGAGGGTGGGGATGGTAGTAAGAGGTGATGGTGGGTGATGGTATGAAGACAGTGTGGGGGGTGAGGAATGAAACAGTGATGGGGGGTGATGGTATGAAGACAGTGAGGGTTGGGTGAGGTAGTAAAAGACAGTGATGGTGGGTAGTAGTGAAGACAGGATGGGGGGTGATGGTATGAAGACAGTATGGGGGTGAGGTATAAACAGGAGGTGGGTGAGGGATGAAGACAGTGATGGGGGGTGATGGTAGTGAAGAGTGTGATGGTGGGTGGGGGTAGTGAAGACTGATGGGGGTGATGGAGTGAAGAGTGTGAGGGGGGTGGGGTATGAAGACAGTGATGGGGGTGTGGTAGTGAAGACAGGAGGGTGGGTGATGGTATGAAGAAGTGATGGGGATGATGGTAAAAAAGACAGTGATGGGGGGATGGTAGTGAAGACAGTGATGGTGGGTGAGGGAGTGAAGACAGTGATGGGGGGTGGTGGTAGTGAAAAATGATGGGGGGTGATGGTATGAAGAGAGTGATGGGGGGTTAGGGTATGAAGACATGATGATGGGGATGGTATGAAACAGTGATGTGGGTGGGGAGTGAAGACAGTGATGGGGTGATGGTAGTGAAAACAGTGATGGTGGGTGAGGGTAGTGAAGAAAGTGATGGTGGGGTGATGGTAGTGAAAAAGGTGATGGTGGTAAAAGGTAGGAAGGGGATGGTGGGTAAAGAATAAAGACAGTGATGGTAGGGGTATAGAGTGAAGAGTGTGAGGGTGGGTTGGTATGAAGACAGTGAGGTCGGTGATGGTAGTGAAGACATGATGGTGGGTTGTATGAAGAAAGTATGGGGGGTGATGGTAGGAAACAGTGAGGGGGGTATGGAGTGAAGACAGTGATGGGGGGGGGGTATAAGAGTGTGATGAGGGGTGATGATGGGAAGACATGAGGGGGGTTGATGGAGGAAGACAGTGATGGTGGGTGATGGTATGAAGACAGGAGGTGGGATGGAAGCGAAGAGAGTGATGGTGGGTGAGGTAGTAAACAGTGATGGGGTGATGGTAGTGAAAGAGTGATGGGGGGGTGATGGTAGTAAAGACAGTGATGGTGGGATGGTAGTGAAACAGGATGGTGGGTGGGGTAGTGAAGATAGTGATGGGGGGGTGATGGTAGTGAAGACAGTGAGGGTGGGTGAGGTAGTGAAGACATGGGGTGGGTGATGGTAGGAAGAGGTGGGTGGGTGATGGATAAAGATGTGATGGTGGGTGTTTTTAGTGAAGACAGTGATGGGGGGTGATGGTAGTGAAACAGTGATGGGGGGTGATGGTAGTGAAACAGTGAGGGTGGGGATGGTAGTGAAGTTTTGGATGGGGGGTGATGGTATAAAGACGTGAGGTGGGGATGGAGTGAAGATGTGATGGGGGGGTGGTAGTAAGACGTGATGGGGGGGGATGGTATGAAGACAGTGATGAGGGGTGAGGTGTGAAGACATGACGGTGGGTGATGGTGTGAAACATGATGGGGGTGAGGGTATGTACAGGGGTGGGGGTAGGTAGGAAGACAGTAGGGTGGGTAGGGTTTTGAATACATGAGGTGGGTGAGGTAGTGAAGACATGACGGTGCTGAGGTAGTGAAGACAAGTGGTGGGTGAGGGTAGTGAAGACGTGATTGTGGGGATGGAGTGGTGGGTGATGTAGCGAGGAAAGGGTGATGGGGGGTTGGTGTGAAACAGTGATGGTGGGTATGTAGTGAAAGACAGTGTGGTGGGTGATGGTAGCGGGGAGATTGATGGGGGTGAGGGTAGTGAAGACAGTGATGGGGGGTGAGGTAGTGAAGCAGTAGGGTGGTGATGTATGAAGAGTGTGATGGGGGTGAGGAGTGAAGCAGTATGGTGGGTGATGGTATGAAGAGTGTGATGGGGGGTGATGTTTGGAAGACATGAGGTGGGTGATGATGTGAAACAAAATGGTATGAAGACATGATGTTGGGTGATGACAGGATTTTGAGTGATGAAAATAAATCGATCAGTGTAAAAAAAAAAAAACCCAAAAAGAAGCAAGAAATATTAAGCATCAGAAGAACAGGATCAGGGGTCATGTACTCACTCTCCCCGGCGGTCGGCTTGATTGACCTCTTAGTCGGGGGCTCCGTAACAGTAAGCCCCTTCAAAAGCCTACCTGGCCCTCCTCTCCGACTCTGCCCACTTTTAGCACGCCCCTTCGCTGTTGCCCTTCACTTGAAAACCGCCGACGGGAACCTTAGGCTACTTAGAAGAGGTGGGAGGGTTTTTGGCGGCTTCTTGTTGCTGCTGGTAGTACTTGCAGCTGTAGTCGTAGGGCCTCGAGACTTGACGCTGGATGAACTTGAGCAACTACTGTTGCCGTTGAGGATTTTCTCCCTGGTCTTAGTGGGTTGTTCCTTCTGGTGGAGTCCTCGAGCTTGCTCCTGGTGATTGGTGCTTGGTTGCTCTTTAGTAAGAGTGCTCTGACTTTTACCTTTGGTCAGTTCCGCTTTTATAGCGATTTGTTTTACCCCGGAGAGAGCGGTAGTTGATGTAATAGTAGTAAATGCCTCCTTTGTTGTCTCTACTGTGTTTGGTTTCGAGGTTACTTGCTCTCTGTCTCCACCAAGTGGATCTCGTAATATAATCTTATCAAGATTTGTCACGACTTCCGACGACTTGCTGGCAGGCACAAAGGTTGTCAGGGGCACAATGATCTTGCCAGCTGGACCTCTGGTGAAAGGCTTAGGGGTACTGTTGTAGCTATTGACAAGCGAAACCTCTGAATTTACAAGCTTGGCCTCTCTCTCGTGCGGTATGATGTTGCCTGTAGGTGGCAACTTTACATCTGGTGGGGCTTCGTTGTTATCTTTAGACGAAATGGGAGATTCTTTTGTAGTTACCGAATCCTTGCGTGTTTTGGTAAGGTATCCAGAGAACGAATATGACTGGAAGTTCTCGTTGAACGCTTTAGCTGCCGCCCGAATAACATCAGTTCGATTTTCACTTGCAGTTGTTTCCGTGTGTGGCACAGCAGTTTTTGGAGTTGCATCGGCTGATCTTCCGATGTTTGTAGGACCTCTTTCAGCAGTCTTGAAATGATCAACGTTCACTGAATCCTGTACATGTGATCCTCCTACGTCCTGGCTCTTCGTCAAGTTGTTCTTGCGTTCCTTTAAAGTAGCTGCAATAAAGGTCTCTCGAACTCGCTCAGGAGGCCGACTCTGAGCAACATTTATGGGAGGAATGAATCCTTTCTCTCCGGTTGCGCTGCTGGCGACCTGAGCCCGACTGGGTAACGGCAGAGGACTTCGACTTCGACGCTGCTCAATAATAGCTGCAGCTTCTCCACTACTCAGAGAACCTGCACGTATCAGCTGCTGGTAATGGTTGTCTGCGTACTGCTCCTCTCCCGTCTGAAACTTCTGACCTGGAATATCGATCTTCGGCGTTCTCTGAAGTTGTTGAATCTGTTTCACTTTTGCCTGTTGCTGCTGTTGATGTTGTTGCTGCTGTAGCTGGTGTTGCTGCTGCTGCTGCTGTTGATGGTGTTGTTGCTGCGACTGCTGTTTGAAGTAATCTTGCTGCTCAGTCTGGCTTTGATGGTGTCTTATTCTGTGATTCTCTTGTGACTGTGATTCTTTTTCTTGTTGAATCTTAATAATATGTACGGATTTATTATCATTGTCGGGTACTTCCTGCTGATGCCGCTGTTGCTGCTTGAACTTATTTTTTTTCAGCTGCAGGTCACTGATTTTAGTTAGGTCCTTGTGTGTTATTTGTTGTGCTGCTCTCGGCTGCTGTTTCTGCTGCTGTTGTTGCTGTTGCTTCTGCAGTTGCTGCTGCTGGACTTGATGTACTTCTTTCAGCTGTGAATGATGCGTCCCCTGTGCCTGTTGCAGCTGTTGAACCTCTCTGAGCTGTTGTTGCTGCACGCCCTTGTAGTAAGAGTGCTGTGTCTGTGCGTCTCTCTGCTGTGAATGCTGCGCCCTGGGGCCACACAGGGGAAGAGAGGCGCACTCTCTCTTGCCGCTAGTATGTGAGCGCTGTTGCTGCTGCTGTTGCTGCTGTTGCTGCTGCTGTTGCTGCTGTTGCTGCTGCTGCTGCTGCTGCTGCTTCTTCTGCTGCTCACTCTCCTGCTGACGAGTCAGTGTTCTTCCTGTCGGACCTGAAACAGACAGAAATAAAACAAAAACCATTAAAACATTTTTCAATCGTTCTAACCTAAATAAAAATCAATAAACCCCTAATAAACCACACATCCAGATATTTTATGGTAAAACATTGCAAGCAACAATTAATTAAAAAAGTTCACTAAATAATAGCAACATATAAATCACAAGTACATATAAAATATCGTTGCCAAATAACGTAGTTTGAATAACGATGACTTGGCAAGTTCCGCGTTACTTCTGGTAAAAACATTACTAGCAGGTTTAAAAAAAAAAAAAAAAACGCAACAACTTATATTGTTGAGACATTAAATTTGGATGAAACAGAAACACTATATTTTTTTCTAAGTATTGGCTATATTTTTCTTAAAAAAATTTTTTTAATAATAATAATAATAATAATAATAATAATAATAATAATAATAATAATAATAATAATAATAATAATAATAATAATAATAATAATAATAAAAGATAATGTTGGTCGATTTTTTTTTAGTTGTAAAATGTATTTCTGTCAATTTCAAAAGGTTTGTCGATTAAATTTTGTGGATATTTTAGATTATTCTCTATTTCAAATTTTATCATTATATCCTCATCTATGAACTCTGGGCTGCAACTACACAAAGTTCTCAAAAACATAGACGCTAACACAGAAAGTTTAACTCAGTCATGATGTGAAGAATAACAGTGTATGTAAGATCAGTTATCTTTTGGATTTCTGATTATTTTGGATTTAATTGTTTAGTTTCCTTTAATGAGTAAGAAATCTAAAAAGACAATGAGTTATTTCCTTCACAATCAACAGTAAAATTTTATAGATGGAGGTAGACCGTTTAATCCAAGAAGGAAATGGTTTATATATAATGAGGATAACAAAAATATAGGTAACGAAAGATTGGATATCAGGTTGGAGGTAGAGAGTATGGAGGAGGTGAATGTATTCAGGTATTTGGGAGTGGACGTGTCAGCGGATGGGTTTATGAAGGATGAGGTGAATCATGGAACTGATGATGGGAAAAAAGTGAGTGATGCACTGAGGAGTCTGTGGAGACAAAGAACTTTGTCCTTGTATTCGAGTTTAGTTATACCAACTCTCTTATACGGGTGTGAAACATGGGTGGTGAATGTTGCAGCGAGGAGAAGGCTGGAGGCAGTGGAGATGTCATGTCTGAGAGCAATGTGTGGTGTGAATATAATGCAGAGAATTCGTAGTTTGGAAATTAGGAGAAGGTGCGGGATTACCAAAACTATTATCCAGAGGGCTGAGGAGGGGTTGTTGAGGTGGTTCGGACATGTAAAGAGTATGGAACAAAAGAGAATGACTTCAAGAGTGTATAAATCTGTACTGGAGGGAAGGCGGGGTAGGGGTCGGCCTAGGAAAGGTTGGAGGGAGGGGGTAAAGGAGGTTTTGTGTGTGAGAGGCTTTGACTTCCAGCAAACATGCGTGAGTGTGTCAGATAGGAGCGAATTGAGACAAATGGATTTAGGACTTGACGTGCTGTTGGAGTGTGAGCAGAGTAATATTTATGAAGGGGTTCAGGGAAACCGGCAGGCCGGACTTGAGTCCTGGAGATGGGAAGTACAGTGCCTGCACTCTGAAGGAGTGAAGGAGGGGTGTTAATGTTGCAGTTTTATAACTGTAGTGTAAGCACGTCTTCTGCAAGACAGTGATGAAGTGAATGATGATGAAAGTTTTTCTTTTTTTTGGGGCCACCCTGCCTTGGTGGGAAACGGCCAATGTGATAATAAATAAATAAATAAAATAATTATATACTGTATAAAACTTTTAAATATTTCGTGAACACACGATGTTCCAACAATGGTGAACACCCGGTGTGAGACTTTAAAAAATGCTCTGCCTTGATAAATGTAGCCATTTCTCTTATGGTGTGTGCATAGTTCCCTAGTGGCCACAACTGACTAACTGGCTGTCTGGCTGAATAGCTGGCTGGCTGGCTGGCTGGCTGGCTGGCTGGCTGGCTGGCTGGCTGGCTGGCTTTCTGACTGGCTTTCTGACTGGCTGGCTGGTTGACTGTTTCCCTAAACACTCAGCTGGTTGAATATCTGACTGACTGGCTGGTAAATCATTGTGCGACTGGCTGATAATGGTGGTGGCATGACTGGTTAGTCAGTTGGCTTGACTGTCTGGGAAGCCTGACTGGATGGCTAGTTTCAGCTTTTAGCTGTGTCGGCTAAGCGGTTAGTTTATTATGCATCCGCAGCCCATCCCGTGAGCAGTTGCGCAAGAACAGGATTAGCAGAGGTCACAATGGGTCTTTTTCGGACCCAGCTGGGCACTGCTACATCTCAAAAATAAAATATTACAATAATTTCATCCATTACAATGACTTCACATAACTAATCTACAAAATTTCAGTGGAGAAACAATCTCAGGAATTTTTAAGTGTCTTTTAGCCATTCAAAGTCACTGGTGATTGTTGAGTTGAACTTTTATCAGTTTATTCATAAGGTCGATAGTGTATGTGGATAACCTCTGAAAATTTCAGGTATCATTAACAATAGTGTTTTGTCATATCCTGTAGAGGTTGTCTGGAGGTCTGTGAACGACTGGATGTTCGATCACTCTAAGATGTAGTTATCCTACTGCCTCTGTCCACACAATTTGCATTTATAAGTAACAGGATGTAGTGTAAAGCACCCTTCTGGCAAGACAGTGATGGAGTGAATGATGGTGAAAGTTTTTCTTTTTCGGGCCACCCTGCCTTGGTGGGAATCGGCCAGTGAGATAATAAAAAAAATAATAAGTAACAGGAAGGCACAATACTGTGACTGGAACAGTAAGTTTATTCAGGTATACACAAATACAGTTAGATAGATTATCATACATAGCAGCATATGTGTAGAGAATCTGGGATAACCCAAAAAAAGTCAGACACACATATTTCCATTGGGGTCATTTTATCTTATTGTTATAATATAAAGGAGATAATATTATTATTACAAAGTCACACTGACTTTGTAAATGGTCCAAGTCGGACCGAAACGTCGTCGTAAGCTCCTCTCTCCTATGTGAGGGTTACTTGTGAAACTGCATTTCATATGATTAGCATCACTAATGAAATCCTGCTGTCAGAGATACTTGCAGTCCAGCAGTAACAACTTCTTGTGATCTACTGACCTTGTTACTTTCTTCAGATATGTTGAACTTGATGCGTCTGTTTATGATCAACAATGGTGCTAGTTCCTATCTATATTGTTCTGTTTTCTTCCTGCTCCTTTTCTGACTATTTTTTAAACTTTTCTTTGAGAAACTATGATTATACACGGGGTGGCTGGGTGGCCTGACTGGGCGGTTGGGTGGTTGGGTGGCCTGAATGGGTGGCTGTGTGGTCTGACCCTGTGGACGATCGCCATGAAAAACTAAGGCAACATGCCAGCCTGGGCTCACACCCACTGTATGCTTCAACCCTCCGTCCCTTCTACTGTTCTCTCTACCGTCCCCTCTTCCACCCCACTGTTCTCTCTACCGTCCCCTCTTCCACCCCACTGTTCTCTCCACCGTCCCCTCTTCCACCCCACTGTTCTCTCTACCGTCCCCTCTACCTTCCTTCCTCTGTCCCCTCAACCATTCCTCCACCGTCCTCTCTACCTCTCCAAGTGATTACGCCTTCATTACTCTACCAGTTGCCCACTCCACCACTCCAGCAGGTGGCAAAGCTTCCACCACCTAACCTCCAAGTGACAACTCTTCCACTACGTCTCTTCCACCACTATTCTTCTCTGGCTTCCTTTTCTGTCTCTTGGTCCAGGGCTCCTCACAAGCAACCTGTCTTTGCCTATTCTGTCGCTACTTTACAGGATTTTATACGTCGTGTAGAGTGTCCTAAATGATTATTTGTTTGGATTCTCGTATACTGTACTAAGATTAGTCAGCATCACGTTCACTGCTGACACCTCTGTTTATTTGTTCCTCTAGTTGTGTACTATAATTCGTACTATTTTGTCGTAAATACCTTCTTAAGACATCTGTTAAATTCCTCACATACTTCTTGACCGTCTTCAGTAATACCTCCTCCTCCTCCTTTTTCTCGCTGTTATTTTCCTTCCTTTGTGACTATGAATAGGTTTCCCTTCTGTTTTAGCCTTTGCTGCGACGTTGTTTTTAAAGTGCCTTTATTCTGCCGCATCGTTTCTGTCCTTTCTGTTCATGTCTCTGTTTTCCATTGTTTCGTGAGCCTTGTTATCTTTGGTTGTCCGCTTTGCTTCTCTACATTTCTGGTTGAACCTCCGCCGCTCATTTTCCTCGTTTTTGGTATGAATTCCTCTCTTGTCGAAGCAGTGACAATCTGTCGACAACTGGTGAATTAAACACAAACGCACAGTGAGTGAGTTTGTGCACTCAGTGTTGGGCGAAACGTTGTTCAAGTAGAAGACACCTCTGCTTGCTTGTCTATTTCATGGTTTTCTGTTATCTCCCTGCATTATTTTTCCTCCAGTACATCGAACAACTCTTGTGTCGTATTTCCAGTTAGTTCAAGACGGTTCTCAATTCTTTAATCTCTCCTTTTGTTGTCTAGTTGGTAGTGCCCCTCTCCCTCTCCCTCTCCTTCTCCCTCTCCCTCTCCCTCTCCTTCTCCCTCTTCCTCTCCCTCTCCCTCTCCCTCTCCCTCTCCTTCTCCCTCTCCCTCTCCCTCTCCCTCTCCCTCTCCCTCTCCCTCTCCCTCTCTTCTTCTCTCGGTGTCTCTGCCACTAAGTCATCGAAACTTAATACAGAGTGGTCGGTGGTTCCACTACGCTTCTTCGGACTCGATTTCTTTCAGTGTCATGTTTACTTAACGTGAGAACGACGTGAAGTTTCGCTGGTTCTAATTCCAACGTTTAATCTAGCTATTTTCTTCACATACTTCCTCATGAAGTTCCTGATCACTGCTCTGACATGTGTGTGTGTGTGTGTGTGTGTGTGTGTGTGTGTGCAAGAGTCTTGCATTAAAGTGATGTATGTAACCTTGATCGTGCCAGGTAATTTTTTCTA